CACACACACACACACACACACACACACACACACACACACACACACACACACACACACACACACACACACACACACACACACACACACACACACACACACACACACACACACACACACACACATACGCCTGAGTGTATTCAGTACTTTGTGGAGCATTTCCCTGTGTTGCGCACATGTTGCTTGTCAAGACTCAACAATAGCTGGAAAATGAATGCAAGCACATAGAGTAGTGTGTTCTGTCCCCATGAGTATGCAGAGGTGTGAGTTCACATACACACCGAGTGTATTTTAAGTTTTTAACACAACACGTGCAATGTGTGTGACGTGCAAACGAAGGAGAACCAAATCTAGCCTACAATTTACAACCTCAAATCATTCTGTACCATCAAGAGTGCATATTCCAATGGAGCCATCCGGCATTATCGATGATTTTCACAGAACAAAATCCCCCCCCAAACGAAAAATAGATTGACTTGACAGCTAGAATAGATTGATTGATGTTTCGACTATCAATCTTTTTCAAAACGAAACTCTCCCAACACACACACCCATAAATGAAACTTTTTCGTTTTGTATAATGGAGAGATTATTATAGACGGCCCGGCCTAACGAAGAATGCAAGTCAGTGTTCCCGTGGCCCATGGCGGATTGTTTCCGAGTACCTCAGAATTTTGTGGCCATTCGGCTCATTGATCGAACATGCATCGACAGATAAAAATGCAAAGATCTTCTACATCTTGCATAAGGTAATTGAAGCCGAGCAACGGACGATAGATTCATGCGTCCTGAGTTTGACGAGCAAACACCATAATTATTATCATCAAGAGTACATAACAGCCCAGATTGTCCAACTCCAGTCCATGGGGTCTGCTCTGCAACGGCAGAGCATCACGTCACGTGACAAAAACCCGGATACAAAACTTGCACCCTGTGAATAGCTCCAGGGTTGTGCGCCACCCTACTCCCTCTTTACGGAGTGCAAGCCGCATCTCCCCCTCTTGACGGGGAGCAATCCACACCCCCCCCCCCCCCCATTTGTACTTAGTCACTGCCAGAAACTGGTCACATAGGTCTCCCTGAGAGAGAGGAGAGAAATTCAAAGGGTGACTTGCAACTTCAGCGCGACCGTTTCAGCGCGATGCATTTCAGCTCCAGCACTTCAGTACCTGATTTCACAGCGCCAGCTTCTTCAGCGTCATGACTATCAGCGCAGTAAAGTGCAGCGCCAGCAACTCAGCGCGAAAAAGTAAGGCGTGATAATTTACAGCGCGATCAAGTAACAGCGCGATCAAGTACAGCGCAGCACACTGCAGTCAGTGGGTGAGGACAAGGTTCAGAAAAAACTGCTAACACTTCAGCGGGTTGCTAATCTAGAGTGGATACGCAAACCAAACACATACAGCACTCCCCCCTCCCCAAAAACACACGCACATACATTTGAGAGGATAGGAAAGGTCTTGAACATATGCAAGTTCAAATTTGTACATCCCCGAGCTGCAACCCCCTGCATCCCCCCCCCCCCCATTCTTTACGGAGTGCAAGCCGCATCCCCCCCCCCCCTTCTTTACGAAGTGAAAGCCACATCCCCCTTTTTACGGAGTGCAAACCGCATCTCCCCTCCCCTCTTTACGGAGTGCAAGTCACATCTCCCTCCCCTTCTTTACGGGATGCAAGTCGCACCCCCCACCTCTTTACGGAGTGCAAGTCGCATCCCCCCCCCCAACTTTACGGAGTGCAAGCCGCATATCCCCCTCTTTATAGAGTGCAAGCCGCATCCCCTCCCCTCTTTTCGGGGTGCAAGCCGCACCCCCCCCCCCCCTTACGGAGTGAAAGCCACATTTCCCCCTTTTTACGGAGTGCAAACCGCATCTCCCCCCTCCCCCATTTTGCGGAGTGCAAGCCGCATCTCTCCCCCCCCCCCCCTTACGGAGTGAAAGCCACATATCCCCCTTTTTACGGAGTGCAAACCGCATCTCTCCCCCCCCCTCCTCTTTGCGGAGTCAAGCCGTATCTCCCACCCCCTCTTTACACAGTGAAATCTGCATCTCCCAATTTTTACGGAGTGAAATCCACATCTCCCCCCTCTTTATGGGGTGCAAGCTGCATCTCCCCCCCCCCTCTTTACGGAGTGCAAGCCGCATCCCCCCCCCCCCCTCTTAACGGACGGAGAGCCATATCCCCCCCCTTTTTACGGAGTGCAAATCGTACCCCCCCCCCCCCTCCTATTTACGGGGTGAGAGCCGCATCTCCCCCAGCTCTATATGGGGTGTAAGCCACATCTCCTCCACCCCCACTTTTTACTTCCTCCACCCTCTTTACGGGGTGCAGGTCGCATCCCCCATTACGGAGTGAAAGCCACATCTCCCCCTTTTTACGGAGTGCAAATCACCCCCCCCCCCCCCCTTCTTGCGGAGTGCAAGCAACATCTCTCCCCCCCCCCCCCTCTTTATGGAGTGCAATCTCCCCCCTTTTTACAGAGTGAAAAATGCATCCCCCTCCCCCTCGCTCTTTACGGGATGCAAGGCGTATCTCCCCGTCCCCCCCCCCCCTCCCGCTCTTTAGGGGTGCAAGCCGTATCTCCCCTCTTTATGGAGTGCAAGCCGTCAAATCTGCACTAGCAGTAGCAACAACATTACCAGCAGAAGCAACAGCAGCAGAGTTTGATTGCTGTTCTCTTTTCCATCTTATGCTCTTCCTGCATTCATATACTTATTGGTTTGTGCTTTCATGAAAAACGTTTCGGCAGCAGCATCATCAGCAGCAGCGAATGTTGTTGAAACAACATTTGCATTTGAAGCATAACATGAGAAAGCGTTATTAACTTACCAGAGTAGATGGTCCTTGGCTTATAATGCCTGCCGATAGCAACTCATACTTCACATGAAGTAGACTCAGACTGAGTTACAGACAACCTAGCACAGGGGATATTCGTGAAGAAAAAGAAAATGTACATGTGCACACTTATATACATGCACCGTGACATATGAGAGGTGAAATGAAAAAGCCGACAGCCACACACATACAGACAAACAAAAACAGGTACACACCTTTGCTCACACACACACATTACACGAGCATGCACGTACCACACACACACACACACACACACACACACACATACACACATACACACATACACACACACGAAAACGCACACATATTTGTACTTAGTCACTGCCAGAAACATCCTTGTTTCATATTGACTTGGGAATGATCGCACATATGGGCTCACCACACTGCATGCAGTCAGTGGGTGAGGACAAGGTGCAGAAAAACTGCATTCTGTCCTGCCCCAGTGAAGTAACACTTCATATTAGAGCGGGTTGCTAACACATACAGTAAAGCCTGTAGTGGTGACCACTCGGATATGGTGACCACTCGGATATGGTGACCACTCGGATATGGTGACCACTCGGATAAGGTGACCACTCGGATAAGGTGACCACTCGGATATGGCGACCACTTTTCCTTGTCACAGACGCATTCACATTCAAAACAGCTCGGATGAGGCGACCACTCGCTCAACGCAACCCGACGACCACCCACCCGCGACCGCGTTGCACAGTGCTAGCACATGTAAATGTATGCATTGCATGGTGCACCAAGCATGGTAGATCTACACAACAGTGCAGGAAGTGTAGATGTGCATGGTGCATGCACGACACTTGACAGGTCTGAGGGCCTAGGCATAATAATTATGAGTCGTGCGGTGCTAGAGTAGCATAGGTGTGTGCACTGTGATACACTGATCAAAATGACGTATCACATGTGGATATGGTCACGTGACCCACTGAACCTGGAGACCACGTGGCCACAGCGACCACTTTTTCTCATCCCTTGAGTGGTCGCCTCAGACAGGTTTCACTGTACAGCACCCCCCCCCCCCCCATACCAAACACACACGCACACACATTTGAGAGTATATCAAAGGTCTTGAAAATATGCAAGTTGAAATTCGTATATCAAAAATCCGGATCAGCTTCCAGACATGCTGCTTTGTAGTGGATTTAAAAAATATACTATAGTAGAACTTTGAACTATTCGAAATCTCTTTTGGAGCAGCGGATACTCACTTGGTAGAATTTCCATTGGATCACAGAATGTAGCAGCTGGCAATACAGGAACAAGTATGGCTGTGAATATTGATATGAACGGCGCTTCTGGAGGTGAGGAGAACGTTTCCTGAGGTATGCCGGTGGATCTTCTGAAAGGAAGTAGAACCAAGCAGAAGAAAGACCAAGGACACTGAAAAGCACTGTATTTACAGGGCGCAAGCCGCAGCCCCCCTCCCCCCCCCCCCTTCTTTATGGGGTGCAAGCCAAGAGGCCGTCAAAGTCTGACGTCACTGCTTCACCCCGAGCTTCAACCCCGCACCCCCCCCCCCCCTTTATGGAATGAAAGCCACATCTCCCCCCCCCCCCTTCTTATAGAGTGCAGTCCACATCTCCCAGCTTTTTTACGGAGTGCAAGCCGCATCTCCCCCCCCCCCCCTCTTTACGCAGAGTAATCCACATCCCCCCCCCCCCCCCCATTTGTACTTAGTCACTGCCAGAAGCTGGTCATAATAGTTCTCCCTGAGAGAGGGGAGAGAAATTCAAAGGGCGACTTGCCATTTCATCGCGACCGTTTCAGCGAGATACATTTCAGCGCCAGCACTTCAATACCTGATTTCACAGCGTCAGCTTCTTCAGCGTCATGACTATCAGCGCGGTAAAGTACAACGCCCGCAACTCAGCGCGAAAAAGTAAGGCATGGTAATTTACAGCGTGAAAAAGTACAGCGTGATACAGTACAGCGTGATCAAGTACAGCGTGATACAGTACAGCGGAAAGTCAATACTTGTACAGTCATAGTCACAACAGACGATGTTCATACACACAGTCATTTTAATAAATTGGCGCTGAGAAACATGGCACTTGGATCTGTGGTGCTGAGATCTGTCGCGCTAACATATTTGGCGGTGATATATATGGCGCTGATTTATGTGGCGCTGAGATATTCGGCGCTAGTCTGCTGGCCCTGAAGTATACAGCACTGAAATATGTCGCGTTGTAAAATTCGACGTTTACGTTCACGGCGAACATAAACGGTCGCGCTCACATGGTTGGCGCTGAACTTGACGGCGCCGAAATAGCATGGAATCATTCAAAGGAATTATCTAGGATTGGAAAGATGGCTCGATTGGTCATTGAACAACGGGTGACCTCCTCTTCGAAACACTGGGTTGACTTGGGAATAGAGAAAGGAAAGGAACAGATGGATACTAGTTAAGAGTAAGAGGCCAGATCAGACGTAACTGGTAAATCATGATCAGAACGCTGACAGGACGTAATGGAAGCAGACACCTGATCGAATCTGGACATAAAACTTTCGATGGAAGCAAACATCTGGCCTACTGATGACTCCAGCTTCTGGAAACGCGCTAGCGAAACAGATCTGGGTCTACCGACTAATTACGTTGGCCGATTTCCTACTAACACTGGACGTGGACTTGACAAACGACGCCGCTCGTTGTCCGTCACCAGCACAAGATAACCTCCCTCAGAACCGGAAGGAGAACCTGAAGTGAAGACATCTCGACGCTGAACGAAAACACAGACTGAAAACTACTACCGCAAAGAAAGAACTGAGACTCCTACGTACAGAATACGTACGTGAAATTGCGTGTCACGTCAAAAAAATAACGTGCAGCTTTATAGCCTCTCTAATATCTCAACGCTCCTTGTCGGTTGTGTGCATTGTTGTCGCACTCGCTGACTGAAGTTCCGCACAACGTAATTACGTTAGTAAAAACGTAATCGATCTACGGAAAGTCTTACTTACACTGCATGCGGATCCGTGTTCCATCATAGGTAATTTTTAAATCACGTAGCTGCCCATGCCTACTCCAAACGTGGCAGCGTACAACCTAGGGAGAGTCATAAATTTACACCCCAATCCACGTACGAAGCACCGCCGTTACAGTGCGTTTCAAAAATATAGACGCGTGATTTCAAAAAACCGTTAGGCCAGCATCTATACCACATAAAATCTGTGATCACTTTGTGCATAAAAATTTGGGTGTTTGCTATCTGATCGCTTAAAAATCTATATGAGATCAATTAATTGCAGGAAGGACCTGAGCAATATTCCGAAAAAAGCTCTCGAAAAGCTCCAGCCAAATTTGAAATATTACAAAAATACCATGCGTCTATATTTTTGAAATGGACTGTAGTAGAGCTCCATCTACGTACTCCACGTAGACAACTCTCCGTAGGTGGAGTGCAAACTCGCGAATTCACGGGTTCTTCCCGCCCACTTACGTAAAGTTGCTCAACAAAAGTTGCTCAATTTTACGTAGTGCGGAACCTCTCTAATGTCCTTCCGTTTTTATCTATAGTACCGTTCTGGCAATATATATGGTCGCAGTGAGGCCATGAAGCGTTACATTGGCACATGTTTACCGCACGCAGGGCGTTACATGCAAAGTCGCACAGGAGCCGTTACACAGGTTTCTATATTGCCGCAGTCCGCTTTTTGCTATTGCCTCATCATTTTTTTGCTATTGCCGCATCATTATTTTGCTATTGCCGCATCATTTTTTTGCTATTGCCGCATCATTTTTTTGCAAACTGCAATGAAAAGACCGCCGCACCCTGCCGGACGCGCGTTACGAACGCAACGAAAATTTGTCGCACTAGCCTGGTCGCGCGTTACGCCGCACCCCCCTGCGTTACGCGTTACGCGGCAACATATATTGCCAGTACGGTAGAAAAAGGACCAAGGAACTACAAGTTACGCTATAATGTCCACTAAGGGGTCGTCCACAAATATCGATGTTTTTTTAGAGAAGATATTCGTTCGTTTGGGGGGGGGGGGGGAGGGGGGTTGGGCCCTGTTCGTCTCGTCTTTGCAGAAAAAAATATCGAACTCTATCTATGGACGGGCGCTGTTCGAACATGTAGTTTGTGACCTACACTAAGTGAAAGTCAACCTCGTGAGCATAGCCATGGCAATGTTGTGCGACCGTGGCAACAGAAACCTAGGTGTATGGTGAAATTAGAGTGGCAGCTGGTCACGTTTCATGAGGAAATTGAACTTCATTACAAAATATCGATCCCTTGCATAAACATGTGTATGTTCGTTTTGAGGGGGGAGGGAGGGGTTCTGGGGAGAAATGAACAAATATCGTCTTGAAAAAAACATCGATATTTACGGACGGCCCCTAACACCACCAGTTACTTTTTTAAACAATCAGCTCATGCGACAACATTGGACGACACTGACCAACGGTACCAACGTTCTACAACTAACTGGCTATCAGCTCTGGCACGTCTTGGATGCGCACTCCTTGGTCCTGTTTTGTAATATAAAGTAATCCTTGGCTCTCCATCCGAGTCTATCCTTCCTTTTTCATCCATATTAATTATTCTAATAATAATATTATATTAACTGGTTTGACGGAAAGAGACAAACGGGAAAAGTCTGAAGAAAAAATTGAATAATAATAATTTTCGTAGTGAAGTGGTTGCGTTGTGTGAAATAGTGGCCAACCGAAACAATAGCATGGTGTTGTGTATAGACTATCTGTTGTGTTTCATTGGTCTGTGTGGCCGAGTGACTCCCGCTTCTCATTCATGATGTTTGGCCTGTTCTCATCTCAAGTGTAGCTACCCCTGTGCTGTGCGGTTTTATTGATGATGGTAATATCATGCACGTGCCTGTTCGTGCCTAGCCTGCTCTTTTCAGTTTCCCGCCGTTGTAGGCAGCGCATGCGTAACAGCTGATTTACATTTTTGCTGTGATTTTTGTTAGGACAGGGTAGCTCTTGTGTTGGGTTTTTTTTTGGAACAAGAAGAAGTTTTTGTCTATGTTGAATTTTTGTGCGCTCCTTTGATCTTGTGAGAGTTGGGTCATTTTGGGCCATGCACGCAATTCGAAACATTACTGGCACCTCCGACGGGATGCGTGCATTTTGAAGACATGGACGACGAAGAAACCACTACTGTCGCGGGGAGTGGAGAGCTGTCTGGCGAGCATGGGCAGGACACCGAAGCTGACGCTCCGGAGACCAGCTCGCAGGCACCTCCAGCCCAAAGTGTGACTTACGACTATGTAAAGTTTCGTGCCTCCCTGCGGAGAAGACTGACCAACCTGCTGAAGGTATTGAACACGGAGTATGGGAAGTCGTCGCCGAGTGCGAGGTACCTCAAAAAGTACCTGGCTGACGCCGAAGGAATAGTAAAACAAATCGAAGAAGTGGTCGAGGACCACAGGAATCAATTGCGAGACGATGCAGATTTTGAAGGATTGGAGAAGTTGGAAAAGTGGTTTGAGAAGTTGAACGAGGATTGTTCTCCGCTGGCAGAAGTTAGTTCGCTCCTTGAGTCAGGAGTTTTGGAGTCAGCCAGTCAGCCCAGTGGCGATGGTGACTTGTCAGCGCAGCCTCTAGAGGAAGAGCTAGAGGGCGAAGATTTTGCCCACAGCGCGCCACGTAGTGCTGATGACGGAGGAACGGAGTTTTCTGGAGACCCTGGTGTCAGTTCCAGCCTGAGAGCTTGTAGTGATGATGATGCATCAGTAGTGACTATGTATAGTACTGGTATGTATCACAGTGGCGTCACTGACGGATGCAGCACTGCTGTTCCCTGGCAAACGCCTGCTGCCGCTGCTGCTGATCAAAGGGATCATGCCATTCATGGAGCTGCTCAAGATGATGGGACAGTGGGTGATTACCCTGATAGCAGGCTTAGGGCCAGAGGTGCACTAGCACTTAGAGGCAGTCCAGGAATGCAAGGCAGGGGCAGCAGCGCTGATACTAGCTCTGGAACTCGATCCTCGTTGCAACCTCCAGGTCACGCTGTGCATGCAGCTACATTCACAACTGCTAGTGTTACTCAGAGTAGTGTGCTTGTGGGACAGCCTCAACATCATCAACACTCCGCTACTCAAGTGTCTAGTGCTGCCTACGTTGCTAGTGCAGGTAGTGGTACTGGTACACCTGGAGTCGCAGTGAACAGAGTTGTGAGTGGAGCACCCAGTCAAACTCAAGGGCAGGGTGGTGGAGCATTCAGAGCGAGAGCAATGCCTTCTGTACAGCAACGTCCTCACGCCAAGCCTGTTACTGCATTTTCATCTTCAGTTCTTCCACCACTACCCTCAGCTCACGCAGCTAAGACTGCATTTCCATCTCCAAGACGCAGTGTTGCACCAAGAGCTTACCGG